TAAATTAGATAAAGTTTAAACAAAAGGATTTTATTATCATAGACATGAATACAAAAAAGTTAAATTAGATAAAGTTTAAACAAAAGGATTTTATTATCATAGACATGAATACAAAACAGATGGCGCGTAACGGAAAAAAGTGACGCGTAACCGAAAAATGTGACGGTAAATTTTTTTCCAACGCCGATAAGGAAGTTTCACTTCAAAAACGAAGCCTTGTAATAAATATATTTATATCAATCAAGATAGTTCTCGATAATAATAATTAAGTTAATGTAGACGTAAATAAATATATTTTTTAAAAGAAATCCTGTTTAAAGAGTATATATATATTTTTTTTTATCGCTTAGCTCCTTTTATAAAATAAGAATATAAATTAAAATAAGACATGACTTAAAGGTCTTAGCTACCAGGTTATAAAATCCCATATTAAAAAAAAGGTAGGTAAGTGGATAAAAATCAGCATTGCCAACTGTACGAGGTTCCTCGTTCCTCGTACAATTACGAGATTTCTGGTCTTCCGTACGAGGTACGAGGACGTTATTAGCCTCATACAGTTATGTACGAGACTTTAGTTTATGAAACTAAAAAATCATTTTTATTGCTGGGAACATTTCTATCTACATGATTAAATTATTTATCTACATCTCACTCGAATAAATATGAATGAGCTCAAGCTCGTTATCCTGAAGGTTTAAATGAAATTTGTGAGTCAGATAAGTTTTGAGCCCATCTACTGAAAACTGAAGACTTTTGCGAGCTGGCTCATTTTGCCCTATCTACATTAATAAAGTTTTAATAAAGTCAATTTAATAAAAACAGACATACCAAACCGACTTCTGCGGGAACTGTGAACGGCACCCTTCTTGCTGCGGAGGGTACAAAAGGTCCAATACGTGTTAGAAACTGCGTTAATTTTGAACCATCGAAGGAGATGTATAGTCGTATGACTAAAGAAAAGTTATACGCCAGTGGAAAGTAAAAGGACGTCAGTAAGGAAGTTCCTGATATCATATTTGGAGATGATAAACTAAGCCTATAATAACATAATAATACCTGTTTTTTTTAATAGATTCTTCTTCTCAACCGTGTCACTCTTGACAGAGTGGTAGTGATCGTCATGTAGTGTTGGAAGGGGCAGACTTGATGCGTCTCACGATGTCTCGCCATCTCTGCCTGCTCGAGGCCATTCTACTGCACTCATTTAGGGTCCCTCCCACTACAGTTTTAATTTGGTCGGTCCACCGCATTGGTGGCCTCCTGCGCGGTCTTGTGCCATCAACGCTTCCCTGTACAACGAGGTGTTCTTTGGACCGGCCATCTCATCGCGAAACATGTCCGAAGAAATCCACTATTCGAGACTGTACTTTAACAAATAGACGCTGCTTGATGCCGAGTTCCTGAAGTATCGAGACATTTGTACGAAAGTCCGTCCACGAAACTCCAAGCATTCTTCTCCAGCACCACATTTCCAGAGCGTCTACATATATAGATATATTTTATTTGTAGCAAACTTGTAAAAGTACTTTCATTTTGTAAAATATCCTAATTTTATTGCCTTTTTCTTAGTTTTATTACAATATTTTATTTGTAGCAAACTTGTAAAAGTACTTTCATTTTGTAAAATATCCTAATTTTAATGCCTTTTCTTAGTTTTATTACATTTTACGCGCAATATGAATATACGAGATTCGAAAGCCAATTTAAGAGATTTTTATCTGCTTCTGTACGAGGAAAAATATTCAAAGGTTGGCAACCCTGATAAAAATAATCATATCTCATGGTATTCTAAGAACCTACGCAATTCTTTTGATTCGTTAAATCAAAACAATTGTGTTTATCAAAATACAAGCAGCTAATTGTTAAACGTCCGCTAATTGTCATATAAGATTACCTCCCAGTTAATGTTTCATCATACGATTTTACGTCATTATCCACTTTTTCCGATTGCTAATACGAGCGAATTGCGTAAAAATAACGCAGAGCCTATTAAATCGTGTTCGCGATTATTCTTTGCGCTATTTCACTCGTAAACTTAGTTTTATTGGCAAATGAATATGTTTGGTATTAGAGTAACTTTTCAGTTAATATTTGTTTATTATTTACTGGCCAAGAGCTCTTGGGGACTGTCTCCTGTAATACTTAGTGAGTATTAAATTGAAAAAGTTTCACTTTAAAATTGAAGAATGCCAAATGTAGTGTAAATACAAAAAACTGCTCACCTACTCTTAATTCTGGCGCTCTTATGGCTATTATTTCTCTTAGTAATAAAAAAATACGGGTATAACCTGTCAACTACTGCTAAAATGTTTTTAAATTACAGTGAATGCGTTCACCATCCACTTAATATAAGTGTTTACTAATGCCCATAAACACAAGAATTTCAGCTTGAGATTTGAGGTCGAGGTGTCAATTGCATTGTATAACAACTATCTAAACCTTTGAAACTGGAACAAATAATAACGCAGTGTATTTTGTTTGTGTTTTTTTCTTAGTAACATCTTGCTATGCTCTTATTCAAATACTGCTAGTAGAATATGATTCATGAAGCGAAATTCCTTTTCAATCGAAATGGATTCAGTTTTATTGCTAGAATAGACAAATGAAGCAATGTTTCATCCGATTGTAAGTGGCTATTGTCACTCATTATTGCAATGTCAGGGGAACCATCATGCAGCTGTATACCATTAAAGACTTGTATCAAACTTTTTTTGAAGAGCATGTCAAAACATTTCATTGCATTGTGATGGTAAGTCAATAAACCTGTCTCTGGAATGTCTCAAGGAATCATTTCTGATATTTATGGGCATTTAACATAAAATAAGCGTTGTCTTGGCAAGTCGTAGTAAAAAAATGTAAATAGTTATACTTTGGATTATATGTATTTTTATTAGATTAATTAAAGGCACATGTAACATGTTCCAGTTCCTGGTGATGGAGGTAATCAATTAGAAGCAAGACTTAACAGATCGTTAGTGGTCCACTACATTTGTAGTAAAACCTCAGCCGACTACTTTAATATATGGTTGAACCTTGAACTTCTCGTGCCTTATATTATTGACTGTTGGGTTGATAATCTAAGGTTGGAATATGACAATGTTACGAGAACAACTCACAACCCCGTTGGAGTTGAAGTCCGAGTTCCAGGCTGGGGTAACACAGAACCAGTTGAATGGTTGGATCCGTCTCATCAGTCATCTGGAGCATATTTCAATAGTATAGCAGATTCTCTAGTCAGCATTGGTTATGTTAGAAATGTATCCATCATAGGAGCTCCGTATGACTTCAGAAAAGCTCCAAGTAAGTAAGAATCATGCAATTCTTCTAGTTTTTTTTTTAACATCACATACTGCCTAAAACGAATAATGTAACTTAACCTACATCACCAAAAATGAATGAGAATAGAAAATGTCATAATTCATTCGCTCTTCTCTACATTATGTATTAAAATTGTGGCCTTACATATTGAACTCATGAAAATGTAAGTAGTTATGCTTAACACCTTAAATACCAAACTAAAAACCATGTNTTCTTCTAGTTTTTTTTTTAACATCACATACTGCCTAAAACGAATAATGTAACTTAACCTACATCACCAAAAATGAATGAGAATAGAAAATGTCATAATTCATTCGCTCTTCTCTACATTATGTATTAAAATTGTGGCCTTACATATTGAACTCATGAAAATGTAAGTAGTTATGCTTAACACCTTAAATACCAAACTAAAAACCATGTTTAGACCAATGGGCTATTAATAGCAGCTCCAAGCCTGCCACTTCATTGTTAATATGCTTTACGTTGTCATTAACGGGATGGCAACATTAACCGAAAGAGAAACAGCTAAGCTGCTGTGCACCGTTAAGTACTTTTCACACCATAAGCCTCGGGAAATACATGGAGGAAATACATGTTCATTTCCAGCATAACCGAATGTAGCAAAAAATATAAGGCTAAAGATGAACTTTGTTTCAGTCAATAGTAGTACAATCTTAAACGAGATATGATGAGATCACAAATTCCCTAGATCAGGGAAATTTTCCACAATATAGACTTTAATTTCCACCAATATGGCACTCAATTACTTGCATTTTTTTTTTTAAAAGGCTATTTAAAACACATTTTGTCTGTTGTTCATGACATCCTACATCTTACACATTGTGAATCCAAAAGCTCTATGTTGATGACTATGGCCACTTTTATTATAGTAAATAGATAAAGATGATAAATTCAAATTTATTTATTTATTTATTTGGGAAACAAACAGTACAATACAAACATATAATATTTTAAAAAAATATAGCTAAAACAATAACCAAATGTTTCCACAATCAAAATCACTATAAGTAGAAAGTGAACAAGAAGAGAAATTTAGAAATTTAAATTACAAAAAAACAAAAGCAACACAATATGCACATATTATTTTATACATCAACTTCCACTTTAATTCTATAATACTTATCAGGCTAAATCACCTTAAAAATATTTTAAAATAGCTTTTCTATATGCTACAAGTAACAAGCAAAAGATGTCAGCATTAGAGAACTTCGCATCATACAACCTACAAGATCTACGGACAAAAGAGTTAGAAGCATATTTCGTTCGAGCCGTGGACATGTGGAAGGTCTGTTTAGAACGCGCGGAAATACGAATACATTTAAATGAAATTTTGGAAAGAAGATAGCTAGAATCAATCTCGTTATTTATTATTTTATATAAAAACATTTGATCCCTCAGTAGGCGTAGGCGATCGACTAGAGAGACAAATTCTGTCGGTACTGGAGAGTTAAAGCGACGACAATGGTATAAAAGACGCTTAAAAAACTTTTTTTGGACTCTTTCTAGTCGCTGAATATAAATATTATATTGGGGATTCCATGTGACGGAGCCATATTCCAATATAGACCGTACAAAACTGTTGTACAACAGAATCAAAGTAGATGGTCTTTTAAAGTCTTTACCAAGTCTAAGTATGAAGCCTAACATTCGAAAAGCCTTACTTACTATTTCATTAACATGAACATCAAAAATCAAACTGGAATCCAAATAAATACCCAAATCACGAACAACTGTGGTGCGTACCAAAGTTTGACCATTAATGTCGAGTTTACATTACGAAATTAGTGTTATGCATGTTGAGCTCAGTTTCACGAAAGTAGTTTCGATATATGCGAAAGTAATTTCGTTAAATAATTAGTGTCGCGAAATTCACAGTATCGCAGTAACCATGGCGCCGTCAGCATCAAAGCTATAATTTGCTATATTCTATGTAGCTAAAGAAATGCTTATATACCTATAAACTTAAAAAAAGACTTTCAAGAAAAAAAAAAGTTGGTAGATTCGAGGATGGTCAACAAGAAGGCATTTTGGTGCAATGAAGTTAGTCTCTGAATAAGCAGATGAAGATCCTGAGAGATATAAAAACTATTTTCGAATGAGTGAAGATAATTTTGATTTTTTACTGTAGGTGTTTCGGGACCCTTGTCATTGATATTCATTAATAAGATCTATATTTTTTTCACGTACTCCATCATTAGTTTGCCATTTTCAACGCTTGAAGCGTGTCCGAACTAACAATACACACGTCCGCACAGCGCAGGCCGTTTCGCGACATTAGTTTCACGTCGCGTCTACACTATGAAATTACAGTCAAAATCTGTTATAACGACACCGAAGGGACTGCTCATATTCAGTCGTAAAAACCGATAGTCGTAACAACCGGTGATGTTTAATGTGTATCGTGCAAGTACAAACAAATCGATAGGGAATTATTGGAAAAATATATTTATTCAACTATGTGCATTTTGTTTATTACACATAAGTACAATGCATATTATTTTTCTGTGAGCATAAAATCTGTAATTTTGGTCTGTTTGGAGCACTTCTGCTGTGCATAGATATTTTGTAATTCACGTTGGATTTTAATTAACGTATCGTCATAATTGCTGTGGATTTGGAACTGTTCATTAAAAAGAACAATATTTCTTAATACACTAACAGCATTGATACCATCATTCAAAGTTGGCACAGTAAATTGTTCTTCAGTCTTCCTGTTAGTCATCTTCGTCTTGAACATCTCGTACAATAACTTCCGTAGTTCGTGCACAACTGTACTCTCTACTACATGCACATGTTTTGTTTCTAAGAAAAAAAACCCTACACTAAACGAAATCCTATTGTTTTCTTTCCTGATTTTAATAGTCATTGAAGACAAATGTGGGTACCTATTCAAATTGTTTACAATACAGCTTAGCCGGTCGTTCTAACAGATCTAGTTCTCCGAAATATTAGTTAAATGTGGTCGTTTTATGAGGTATGTCGTTATTAGCAATGTCGTAGAAAGCAATATTTTTAATAAGGCGGTCATATGGCATTCAGCCGGGACCTTTGTTCTAGGTTATTATAACCGGCATGTTGTTCTAAACGATGTCGCAGTAAACGGTTTTGACTGTAGTTGCATGACACTAATTTCATCAAAAAATCGCGCAGGGCACGAAACTAAATTGCATGCATGAAATTAATGCATGCATTACGAAAGTATTTAAATTACACGTGAAACTGTTGGTAAAACTAATGTCACGAAATTAATTTCACGCCACTAATTTCGTAATGTAAATTCGGCTTAATAGAATAGTCATACAAGATATTCGATCTTCCACGTGAGAATGTTATAATAGTACACTTGTTAGTATTCACTGTAAGTTATTTTGACAGTAAACAAATAAGTTGTTAAAAAATACAATTAAAACAAACAAAAAAAATGAAAAATGAAAAGGCCAGGAGTGAACGCCTCATTCCCACGTAGTGCCATCTAGAAAATAATCCTTAACTTTTTAATATGCCTTGTTGCACAAACGTTCCTTGACAGTTTTCTTAAATCTATGAACAGGTAGTAATTGAACGTTTAGTGGGATCTTGTTGAAAAGTTGTACACCCAGTCCCCTAAAAGATTGCTTATTTTCTTAATTCGAGCCGCCGGCAACGCAAGCCTATGTTTGTTCCTAGTCTTCACATTGTGCAAATCGCAGACTCTGGGGAATTCTTTAATGTTTTTACGCACGTACAATAAATTTTCAAAAATGTATTGGGATGCTAAAGTTAGAATTTTGATTTCCTTAAACTTGTCCCTCGAGGATTCCCTCGGGTGCATATTATAAATAGTACGAATAGCCCTCTTCTGCAGGATGAAAATCGTTTCGACATCGGCAGCATTGCCCCATAGCAAAATTCCATAGGACATAACACTATGAAAATAACTAAAATAAACCAGACGTGCCGTATCTTCATTAGTAGGTATACGTTCGTTTTTTTTTACCGATACGATAAAATAACTAATACAGCGTTTTAATTATTGGCAGATGAAAACCAAGAATTCTTCATAAAGTTTAAAAGCTTAGTAGAAGACACTTATAACAAGAACAATAAGACATCAGTTACCTTAATAGTGCATAGTATGGGAGGCAGAATGGCATTACATTTCCTTCAGCTCCAAACTCAAAAATGGAAGGATCAGTACATAAGAAGGATGATTTCTCTTTCCACACCCTGGGCAGGGTCCATGAAGGCTGTTAAAGTATTTGCTATTGGTAGGTGGATCTTCTAAATATAGATATTTATTTAATGAAATTGAACTTATCTGCCAATATTTATTGAATATGCCATTTATACAGGCATGTCCACATGTAAACCTTAATAAGAGTACTATCATAGCTATCCTTCGAATAATACAAATTAGACAAGAAAGAATATTCAACAAATTTTTTTTTTACTAAAATTGGTGGACTAGCTCACAGCCCACTTGGTGTTAAGTGGTTACTGGAGCTGATAGACATCTACAACGTTAATGCCGCCACCCACCTTAAGATATAAGTTCTAAGGTCTCAAGTATAGTTACAACGGCTGCCCCACCCTTCAAACCGAAACGCATTAATGCTTCACGGCAGAAATAGGCAGGGTGGTGGTACCTACCCGCGCGGACTCACAAGAGGCCCTACCATCAATAATTACGCAAATTATAATTTTGCGGGTTTAATTTTTATTACACGATGTCATTCCTTAACCGTGGAAGTCAAGCGTGAACATTTGTTGAGTACGTATTTCATTAGACAAATTGGTACCCGCCTGAGATTCGAACACCGGTGCATCGCTCAACGCGAATACATCGGACGTCTTATCCGTTAGGCCACGACGCCTTATGTCATACTTATGTCATTATGAGAAATAATCCATGTAGTAGTTTCGAGAACCGAAATGTTTCAGTTTGCTTCCATATTATAGTTGTACTTAGCTACCTACACAAGCCCCTGTCAGGGACTCAGTACAGAATTGATATGCAGGAGATGATCTCGGCTCAAGGATGTTGTTCGAGAGCACAATGAGGACCCAGCAGATAACGTGTCCCTCGCTGGCCTGGCTGCTACCCTCACCCTTGTTCTGGAAGCCTAATGAAGTTCTGGTGCAAACTGACAAATATAATTACACGATAAACGACTTTCAAAAGTTGTTCAAGTGAGTACTTTTGTTATTTCTGACCATGATTCTGGCCAAGAGACCTTTTTAGAGCCTACTGACTTGATGTGCCACTAATTATTTTAGACTTTGCAGTCTTAGTTCTATTAGAACAGTATTTGATCAAATTATTACAATGAATAGTATAATTCTTTCTAGAAATGCAGCACCATTGTAGATTCTTGTATGACAACCCGTCAACCATACTATAATTTATAAACTAAACCTATATGCATTTCAAATATGTAATTTCTAAACAAAGTTTATGGATATCAAAATATATGTTCTAGTTAACTGTTGTATTATTAATTTAAATTAATCTTTATATTAATTATTGTTTTATTTAAGTGACATGGAGTTACCCAACGCTTGGGAGATGAAAAAGGACACTGAGAAATACACAAAGGACTTCAGCGCTCCCGGCGTCGAACTGCACTGCGTGTACGGGTACAACGTCGCCACTGTGGAGCGGTGCGTACTGCTTACTGCTTACTAGTTGTACACGCTAGTGCATTTGTAATGTTGTGCTATAATTTAGTTAATGATACATATATCCGGGGTGCAAGTTCTAAAGCCTAGTTGTTTGATGATATTTTTATTGCTTAGAATGGGTGGACGAGCTCACAGCCCACTTGATGTTAAGTGGTTACTGGAGCCCATAGACATGTACAACGTGAATGCGCCCCTCACCTTGAGATATAAAGTTCTAAGGTTTCAGTATAGTTACAATGGCTGGCCCACCCTTCAAACCGAAACGCATTACTGCTTCACGGCAGAAATGGGTAGGGTGGTAGTACCTACCCGTGCGGACTCACAAGAGGTCCAACCACCATCTTTATAAATATACATATTCTAACTGGTATACAGGGTGGTGGTACATCAGGTTCACAATACGTTACTTTAAGTGATTTAAATTATATAAGTACGTTAAGCATTTAAAATAAACAGTAGTGCCGAAAAAAATTAATGAAAGTGTCAGCAGAATTTGAACAGAAAAATTTGTTCAAAATATGCAGGCATGCAGTATGCAATCTTAAGAGTACTTTATACTGAGTAATTAACAAAAAGGGTGATGTAATGTCAATCGCAGGTTGGTATACAAGGCTGGCACGTGGCTGGACGGCCACCCCGCGCTGGACACGGGCGACGGCGACGGCACCGTCAACCTGCGGTCCCTGGGCGCCTGCGAGCACTGGCGGAAGCGCCGCGGACGCACCACGCTCAACGGAGGCAAGCCCGTCAAGTCACTGCCACTCAGCAACGCAGAACACCTCAAGATCCTCCACGACAAACGCGTCATCGACTACATCACCACTGTCATGAGCAACTAGATCTTAGAGAAGTTCAACTTCTCTAAGTGCGATAGGTCATTCTAATGTCATCTCGTTTCTATAGTGTAACTACTGCCAAGAAGTTTCACTTCTATCATTTTCATCTAAATAAATAATCCAGTTTGTGTAGAATTCAAATTACACTTACTTATTATTACTTATTAAAGTAAAATTAATTAATTTCACATATTAGAGATATTCAAAGGAACTGCTTAACGAAAGTGCTTTCGTGAGGCTGGTCCGGCCGAGGGCTGTGTTGTGCTTATATTAACTACGTAGTCAATGTGTCATCTTAAGAAATGTAAAATAACTTGTTAATTTTATGTTCATAGAACAATAAACTCTGTGTGCTTGGCCTCAGTTATACAATAACCGTTGTCCCAGTTATGCGTTTAGTGAGGAATATCTCTTGCCGAACTTATTATTTTTAAATTGCTCATTACTGAAATTGTTTAAAATGATATTATAGGTACTATACTTTTTAAATACTTTTACAATTTTTTTTTATATTAGTAAGTATTCAAAAATCTTTATAACATATCATCTCATTGTCTCATTGTGTTAAATAAATGTTTACAATTACAATACAATTAATGATACGTAACACAAGATGAAATGTTATTAATGTAAAGAATTAATTTAGTTCATTAAATTGAACCAAATTAATTACGGAACAGAGTTATTATATAAATTTGTTAATTAACATGCATTGTAATGTTTTTATTAATTATATTGCTTTATTTTGTATTATAATATGTTTGTGTCTTAGCTTATACTTTCCATGTTAGTCGCGGTGATACGAATAGACCACTAATTTTTATTTGTTCATGACAAAAACTAACGATAGATAGAGCTGACCGACGTGAACACATCTGTTCAGAAAAATACTGAATTTTAATAAAACAGATGGCGCCACCACCACACCGCGCAGCTTGCAGTAGACACAGATAATTATACCCAAACAGCCACTATGACAAACTTATCTCAAATAAGGTTGTCTCCCCACAGTGAGCGTTGTACTCTCACAAAGCCCTCAATAATTCGATGCGTAAGCTATCTTATTGCTCTCTATTTTAATTAGAAATACATACATTTATGTATTAAGTTTTAGCGGTGTTTTGAATTTTGTATAAAATTAAATGTCAACATGAATTTGTCTAGGTTTTAGATACATTTGCTCAATCTGTTATTGATGTAAGCACTCGTTCAAACATCTATGCATATTTCACGGACATTCACGTGTATGTATTTAATGAAGCATTTTTTTTAATTTCTGCATTTAAAATTGTTGAGAAAATCTGCTTCTGGATATTGTTTAAGTTATCACAGTATCAAACTGAGCCGTTTTTTAATTTCTAAACCAAAATACAGACGAGCCAAAAGTTTATCAGTAATACTATTGTTGGATGGATAACTTTTCACACATAAGTGCAAATACCCGAAAATTTACTTTTTAACTTTAGATTTATATACAATTGTAATAACAACTAATTATTTCCAACAAGAATAATGAATAAATGACTTGCTCTGTGATAATTTAATAGTCTTCAACTTGTTATTATGTCAATAATAAATCATTTAATGGGCTGGTTAGTTTGATTTTTAACTTCAAATTATATTGCTTTTATTATGGTTAAGGCTCACGCTATGTAAGTGAAATAAATGTAATTAACATTTAACAATAATTAAATGTTCCTAGTCTCGTATTTTGTAATTATGTATTTTTTAAAGTACCATATTTTTATTTCACCTGTTATGACGTTGGTTTCCCTTGTTGGAATTCCTTAGAAACATCTTTCTATCTCTGGCAACATTTCATTCGCTGACAAATTAAACTCAGATTTATAGGGTTCCTGATTGATTAATCGAAGACATTATTTTTGGCTAACAAAATAAACGGAAAAAAAAAAATGTCAAAAGAAGATACTCTCAATTTTGTTTTACAAGAACTCTCGAATTTTGATTTGAAAAGAACAAGTTTTAAAAGTTACGTTCATTGTCTTGACGATTTATTTCTTATAACAAACCGTAAGGGCCATTCATTACACACTTAGTTAAAAATGTTATGAAAGTTCTTTTGCCAAGGTGATCGTAAAATAATCTCTTTTTTTTTTAAGAATTAATAGCGGCCCGGAGGCCATTCCTGTTTCACCAGGTCAGGTCATAACAATCTCACTACAGACGAAGCAATCAATCCAATTATGTCGTGCCTAATTCAAATATTATATTTATAACATATAATAACATCACAGGTTTTATTACTATTATTATCTACCTTGTCGCAAATATACTCGTGATGTTCGTGCTATTGGCTAAATACCGCGGGGGGGGGGGGGCGTGTCCGAGCCCGTCCGCGATTCCTTCGTCTTAGTTATTCGATTGCTATTTTTAAGTGTAAAAGGCAACTTGAAATGTCTGTGATTAATACCTCTATGATGCTCTGTTTAGTCAATTTGTTTTTCATACTTTAAATAAATCGTTTGAGCGAGATGAATTAATGTTTTATTTCCAATACAATTATGGTGACCGGCTGGAAAAAGAGTTCCGAGTTACTAAAGGTGTTACGGTCTTCCGTTCCGTCCCACTAAAATAAAAGTAAAAGTACCAGACCTCGCGATACTGTTGATTCGTTCTGTATAAAGCGAAACTTAACTTTTTTTATTGCCCTTGTAGGCAGACGAGCATTCGGCCCACCTGATGGTAAGTGGTTATCGTCGCCCATGGACTTCAGCAATGCCAAGAGCAGAGCTAAGCCGCTGCCTACCGTTAAGTACTCTCTAAGTACTTAACTAGCGAGCAACGTTTTTACAGGATATCACTGGCTTCAATTTGTGTTTATTGAATTCTATCTTTAATCCCAGCAGTAGACGATGGTGGCTCGTTCATTAACCCTTTTAATGCTGAGCTGGTTTTCACATATTTTCAGAAGCTGCCTAAGAATTAAAAAAAAAGTATGTATGTACCTTAAAAAACTTTAACCTAAAAAAATACAAAAGTAACGCTAAATTCACAAGAAGATCATTTTAAATTACTTGCGCGCGCTAAGATAAATCCATACATGTCGATACATCTATACTAATATATAACTCTAGTGGTTTTTACGGATGTTCCGTTATAACTACTGAACCGTGCATCCGATTGACTTGAAACTTGGTATCCATGTAGAAAATACATGTACTTAATGGATAGGCTGACATATATATGAGTATTGGACTCCCTAATAATAATGACAATAAATAATAATGTTAATTTTAAATGCCCAGCGAAGCGGGAGAGTACGGCTAGTAATACCTATAATCAAACTGCGCAATAGTCATAGTCATAGTCCGTGGTTCATACACATTAATAGAGTCGATTTATCGACGGTTCACGCTCAAACGGTTAAGGACCGCAGTGCATGTGTCGTAGACCTCGGAATCGTCCCAGAGACCTATTAGTGAATAACCAGCACAGCAACTTTTAGAACATTGGATATTTCACTATAGAACTAAACCAACAAAAACAATTTCATAATAACCATGTAATTTGAACCACTTTTTCACAAATCATTCATCTTTTATTAGTTAAGCCTACTCGCAATTTTATTTTTTTACATACAATACAAAACTGCATAAATACATTCATATATAAAGCTTATATACTACATAATACTTTACATAATATACATCTTAACTATCAACGTACCATATACAAAGATCTAGACATCACAAAAAGTAGCTTTGTATCTCTTCGGTTTGTACAAACTTTATAATAACATAATATACAAACAAACCGTTATTATTATTATTTTTTATTGCCTTTGTAGGCAGACGAGCATACGGCCCACCTGATGGTGAGTGGTTACCGTCGCCCATGGACTTCAGCAATGCCAAGGGCAGAGCCAAGCCGCTGCCTACCGCAATTAATTTCGTTAAAGCACATTTAGTGCTTCAGATAAAAAACTGATGGACTTTTTTTACTGACTTCCGTATGGATAGTACAAATAATCACGTAATTGCAATGATCCCCAACAATTTAATAACGACCGCGACATAGCTATTACCGTTTCGGAACTTAACATATTATTTATAGAGTTCAATTTTGTTATAGCACACGATTTATCCTGAAGAATATACACACACGTTTGGAAACAACTGTACCTTTAAGTACTTTTCGATCTCAAACTAATCTTGTTCCTATTAAAAATATTCACACAAACATACTAAAAAATAGTACGTATAAACTTCTTTCTTTCTGGAAAATATATATTATTATGGAAAGTACACCAATTTAAAAATGTATGTGAGTTTGATGAATAAATAATTTGTAAATTTTAAATGTGAAAAACACGTTACCAAGAATTAATACTAATATACTTTCATAAAAGAAAAACATTAGTGTACACAAAACATACGCAAATTATTCAAAAGATTTTTTGTCTTCAAACAAAAGATGTACGAATAAAGATCACGATCGCGGAAATAATGAAATGTCATTAAAAATCTGTTTAAATTTCAGGCCTAAATTTAATTTTATATGGCCTTGAACCGCAGCATTATCAGCCCACGTGTGGGACGCGTCGCGGACATTTGGGACTCGACCCTACTACATTTCGACCTGAATGAATTTGGGTGAAGTGATATAAATTTTTTATTGCTATCCAGGCAATAAAATAAAATAAAAAATTAAACACAAGAGTCATGATTTCTTCCATACAAATTGTTATTGGAACTAATCCTGAACTAAGTCCAATATTCCTATACGCATTAAAACTATCTCGGAGCGACATCGACGTGCAAACGACGCTTGCAGTACACGTAATAAATGCTAAAGGCAACTCAACAATACGATCTAACGACAAAAGAACGAACCTAAACTTAATCTAAAAGTCAAACTACGATGTATGAAATATCACATTTTACAAAAAAATAATCGATTTTTTATGCAATAAATTAATATCGATGTCGCATTTAGGACAACCGACGTGAAGCCGGCTACGGGAGACAGGCTAAAATAACAACCGATTGTTCTCCCGTGATCGACGTAAAAGCGATTTTTGACAAAAATATAATAGATTCAAATTTATTTATGCTCTTCTAACCTTGTCTTAATCATTAATGAAACATTTATTATATTTTTTTATTGCCATTTAAAAATTGCACGTGTATACCTATCGACAGCATGCTTCACATAAATAAATTGCCATGAAGAATGCCAATAGGTTGGCAGCTGTGAGCGCTCGTGAACATACATGTGAAAACAGCTGACCGTATTTAATTTATTACATGAATTGTGTTTTCTTTTATGGTAAAAATTTAACTGAATTTTAATCCTAAAGCGATCTCAGCGATAAATCAATTTAATTCATAGAATAGTCTCTCATTGAAGCGAAATACATTTCTAAGTATTTCGTAAAAGTTAACTTACAAATAATAACATCAATTTACATTATAATATATAATCAGAAAGTAAATGATTATCCGACATCGATTTATATCTAATCGATAGAAGCGTCTGACGTT